GAAGGCTGAGGTGAAAGGATCGCCGGAGCCCAGCAGGTCGAGGCTGCGGTGGCTGGGAGCGGCCACTGCACTCCAGTCTGAGCGACAGAGTGAGACTCCAGCTAAAAAAAAAAAAAAGAAATGTTTTTGCTTATTTGTAGATAAATCATATGAGAGTTTAAAATTGCATCCCCCACCTCATCAACAAGGGTGCCTGCACAATGAATATTTGTATACCTAACTCTGAATTGTACCCTACAATTTTAAAATAAAAAATTTAAAGGGGAAAAAAATTGCATCCCCAGGCCGGACATGGTGGCTCACATGAGTGGCCAAGGTGAGAGGATTGCCTGAGCCCACGGGTTCGAGACCAGTCTGGGCAACTTGGTGAGACCTTCATCTCTACAATAAATCAAAAAATTAGCCAGACATGGTAGCGCGCACCTGTGGTTCCAGCTACTTGGGAGGCTGAGGCAGAAGGATCACCTGAGCCCAGCAGGTCAAGGTTGCATGGCCGAGAATGTGCCACTGCACTCCAGCCAGAGTGACAGAGTGAGACCTCAACTCAAAAAACAAAGAATTGCATCCCCTCAGCAGTGGAAGAACAGAAGAGGCCTCGCCAGAGGATGTTGTAAAAAGTCACCATATGTCCCAAAAGCTTGCTTTGTCTTCATAGTGCACATTTCTAAGACAGCGTTTTAACTGTATGACCTCTATTTTTCTAAAATGAATTTTTTTCTAAATCTGGGGAGGCAGCTACATGTCAGAAAGATTTGTTTGTTATTTGTTGAATTGTTTAGCTTGTTCTCAGAGAATGTATTTTTTTTTACAAGATGAGTTCTCACCAGGTTGCCCAGGCTGGTCTTGAACTCCTGAGCTTAGGCAGTTCTCTCGCCTCGGCCTCCCAAAGTGCTGGGATTATAAGCTTGAGCCGCTGCACCCAGCAGGGAATGTATTTTTTAAATTTCTCCAAAAATTCTGTTCAAAGAATGAAGTGTTATTTTCTTTGAAAAGCAATTCTTTTGTGTGAGTACTGGATTAAATAGCCCTTAGCACCCATTGCTCTTTCTTTCTTTAAATTTTTTTGTTTGCTTTTTTGTTGGTTGGTTTGTTTTTGCTTTTTTGAGTCAGTCTCACTCGGTCACCCAGGCTGGAGTGTAGTAGCGCGCTTGGGGCGACCTCAGCTCCGACTTGCTGGATTCAGGTGACCCTTCTGCCTCGACCTCCTGAGCATCTGGGAATGCAGCTGTGTGCCACCACACCCAGCTAAGCTTTGGACTTACTGTCGAGATGGGGCCTTGCCACACTGCCCCGGGCTGGTCCCAAACTCCCAGACTCATGCAGTCCTCTCGCCTCGGCCTCCCAGAGTGCTGGGATTCTAAGTGTGAGCCACCGGCCCAACCAGTCCTCTTTGTTTTAACGTTTATTTTTCTATGTGATTGTGGAGTCATTATTACAAAGTCTGTATGTCACTCCCTGCATATTTTTCCTGTTGTTTTTTTCCCCTGTGTGTATTACTATTATCATTTTTTTGAAACAGAGTCTTGCTATGTTGCCCAAGCTGGTCTTGAACTCCTGACCTCAACCAATCCTGCCCGGCCTCCCAATGTGCCGGGATTACCGACGTGAGCCACCACACCCGGCTTCTGTAATTATTCTTACATGTTCGTCCCATCGAGTTTTGGCCTCAGACCTCCTGTCCACATAGTGCCTCCACTAAGGGATCTCATCGACTATCTTGCCTTTGCTGGCTGCCCATGCTCATTCTCCAGGCTTGCTGAGTTCCAGGGGTTGGTTAGACAGTCTCACCTCTAGGAGCCCGGGACGCTCAGGTTCAACGTGTCTAAAATAGGGCTTCCTCAGCCAGCCCCGAACAGTCAACAAAACATGTTCCTTTCATGTTCCCAGATCCCCACCCTCTCTGCTGACCTACCATGTCCCATTACCTCTGCACTGCTCAGGTCACTAAGTGATGCAGCAGGTCAGCTTCTAGGCCTCTTGACGCTAACCCTTATCCATGCCCGTTTTGAACTCAGCGCCCAGCTTAATTAAGGCCTTTCTTAATTAGCGGGATTGTTAAATACCCTCCTGCCCGTGCTTCTCGCTCACAGTCATTCCCACCAGGACATCCTCTGTGCTCCCGCCAGCTTTCCTTGTTGTTCTGATTCCTTGCATAAAAGTCTCCAGTGGCTCCTCACCGTCTACAGCAGGCAAGTCCGAGCCGCATCCCGCAGGCCACAGGCGGCCCGAGACAGCTGGTAATGTGGCCCCATAAAATCGTGTAGCATCATGTGTCTTTTAACGTGTCTTTTCTTCGTTACCCCATGCGTACTTCTGTTTTGAAGCACACCATCACACCTTGTTCAGATGCCACTTTTTGGCGTCCCTTGCACTTGTGAGCAGCTGTTTTCAGTGATGAGGTACACCAAGAGCAAAATTCGAACAGACTTATCTCACGAGCACCTTGAGAACTCTCTAAGAACTGTGACCACTTCCATCAGACCGGATTTGAGAGATGAGTTTTACAGAAACAAGGTCAAGTTTTTCACTAGTTTTATATTGGCCTCATTTTCCTAAACTTTATAATAAAAAGTATTTTAAAATGAAGTCGTCTTATGTATGTGCACTAGCTCTGTAATTTACATGCAGCCAAGACAACTCCTCTTTGCTCAATGTGACCCAGGAAAGCCAAAAGGCTAGACACTCCTGGCCCACAGGATACTGTCTGCACTATTACCGCATAGAAGCCTAAAGCCCGTTAAGACCCATCTCAAGGCACCCTCTGAACTTCTTTGCCAGCCCTTCTTCCCTTGGTCCCAGCAGTTGGGCTGGTCCACCATCCCTAGGCATGTGCTTTCAGGGCTCCCTCCTGTGCTCCCCCTGCCCCCGCCCCCAGTGCTTTCCTGCGTTGGTGAGTGCCTGCCCAACTGGTAGGGCTGAGCTCCAGAGTCAGCCCTCCCTGCTTCCTCTTTCCTGCTTCTTCAGACTTTACGTTGGTTTGTAATTTGTACTGTCTCCTCTTCTACATGACGTTCCTGAAAATAATAGTAACGTGTATGCATCTTTGTTCCCCAAGACCTGGTACAGTAGCCGGATGTAATCATCACTCAGGGACTGTGAATTCCACCTGCTGGCATGCTCAAGGAATGGGCTGTTAAGGCCCATTGAATTTTTGGTTAATTCAGTAATGAAGCTTTTTGTCAACATGTGACAGTTTTTTCTAAAATTATCAAAATTATCTGAGTATTAAAGTGGAATGGCCTTAATATTTGAGAACTTGGGGACACCATAAGGTTTTTCATTCTGGAATAAAGTCAACCACTGTCAGGTTGACTTCCCAGGTAAATGAGCTGCAGCAAGGCTTCTGGCCTGCTTGCTAAAAGTCAGATTTCCAGGCCTCATTCCAAATCCGCTGAATCGGAATCTTTAGTTTGGGGGCCCAGGAATATGTTCCTAACTCAAATCTCCAGCTGCTTCTGATGTGCAGCTAAATTTGAGAGCTGATTCATGGTGTCTAACCTGGACATAGTTTTTCTCCCTTTTTTTTGACAAAACTTCTGGCTGAGCGGAGGTGGGTTCATTGAAGTGTTTTCTGCTGTGTGGTGTGCCTCGATAATCTTGTGCACCGTCCTTTATCTCTCCTCAGCAAGGCATCCTGTTAAAAGTGGCTGAAGCTGTCAAGAGTTGGGTATTTTTTTCTCAGTGCAGTAAGAACGATGACTTACTTCACAAACTGGTAAGTATTCACTTTACTTGTTTTTGTGACTTTTCAAGGCATCAGTTTATTGGTGAAAGAATCGATGAATCAGAATTTACAGAATTTATTTGCTGCTGGACCAGGCAGTGACTGATTTTTTTTAATTTATTTATTTATTTTTTTAGGTATTTTGCAGTAACTCAGGATCTTTTAAGTTGGGCTTACTGGTATTGTTCATAAGTTGTATAAGAGATTATTAGCCATGTAGAATGGAAGAATCTGGTAGTTACTGCAACTTTAACTGTTAGATGACTAATTTGCCTCTGCCATTTTCCCCAACTGACAGGTATTCCACTCAGGCAAGAAGGGAATGTATCTATTAGTGGGATCCATTCAGGTCCATTCGAGAAATCTCAGGATTTCCCAAAGACTTGAGATGGTCAGCACTGAGGGTCTTTGTGATTCCTGTGAGGCTTTCTTTTTCCCTGCCTTCTGCTGTAATATAACTCCAAGGGGGCGTGTTTCAATCTTCTGACAGGCCGACAATGCAATTCGAGGAAGTACAGCTGAAAACACTCAAGTTGTAAGGTTACATGGCCCTCGGGAGGAAGCAGTTTCCAAGGAAGTAGGGTTCAGAAGCCTCTACTGGCCTGTGCCCTTGAGAATTATCTTTGTTGTAAATAAACTTTCCTAAAGAGGTTGTTTACAAAGTGCTTTCACATTCTGATTTGATCATCTAAACAGCACTGTAAGATTTAGTGTATTTTACCAGCGAGAAAGCCACGGTTCAGATTGTTCATTTGTTTTGATGACTTTTTCATTGAATTTTTCAAGAATATTCGGTTAGCAAGTGATAGAGTCAGGATCCAGGTCCCCTGCTTACAAAACCCATGCTCTTTCCACCGGAACATACTGCCTCTCTAGTTGGAGTATTATTTTTTGACTGACTGAACTTACTTTTTTAGCAATCCCAGTGGTCAAGTGCTCTGTTCAGGGTTTCATCTTTGTAGAAGGTGTATTGAGAAGGTCCAGGAAGTGTCTTATCATCTCTGTAGGATGTCACCTTACCCAAGTGGAGCCATCCTACTCTTTAGTGATGCTAGGACATGGTAAGGTATATGGCCATATGCATTTTTTGGTAGTGTAAGCATAATCTCACAGGCCTGTGCTTTCATCCTTGGGGCTTTATCTCTGGCCTTGTGTTTCATGTCATGTTTCACTACAAAATGCCAGCTTCTGTCTGCACCCTTTGGTGCCTGAATTATGGTGAACTGTTTACTAGCAGTGGGATGAGGAATTGTCCAGGTGGCTTGCGATGTGAGATTGCTTCACTTTTCCTCTTGACTGTGACACATTTAAGATTTTGTCAGCGATGCAGGTATTGAAGCAGGCCCTCTTTCCTCTTACAGAAATGCTGGCAACTCCTCCATGATATCTGAACAGTTCACTATTGAACATTTCCATAGTACTTTTCTTAAGAGATTTTTTTGAAAATCCTTTATAGGGGCAGTGATGGTAGTGGCACCAGCACTTTTGAAGTGCTTTTAGCCTGTAAAGTGTTTTCACACGTTATCTCATTTGCTCCTCATGTCAGCTTTATGAAATAGCACTGCGATGTTAGAAAGTATGTATGATCAGTAAAGTATATTGTCACATGAATAAGTTCCTTTCTTCATCCCTAAAAAAAAAAATAGAAGCCTCTTAACTTTCCAGCCATGCCTCCTCGCACCCTCTTCATCCTGTCCAAGCAGAAATCTTCCTGTGTTGCTCTCCCACATCCCTTCCCTATTTAGATCCCGAAAGCATCTCTGGAATTCATCAGGTCAAGTCCAAATCTGTCGCTTCAGCATGAAAGAGGCTGTGATTTGGCCCTACCTACCTTTCTAGCCATGCCCACCAGTGTTTCCATCAGTGAGCCCAGTCTGCCTTCCCTTTATTCCACACTTGTTCTGTATGTCTCTGTTTGTGCTATTTTACTGTGGTGGAGTTCTCTCAGTTTTCTTGGTCCACTGTGATCTTTTCAGTAAGCAGTCCTAGCTTTTCCTTGAGGCTTTCCCCACAACTTCAGCCTTGTGTAGCTCTTATTTTCAACGTCAACCTAGTAATAATTATCTCTGCTGAGTTCTGCACATTTTTGTATTGTGTTACACCCAACGTGTGCTTTTCTTTATTGTCTTAATTTTTTCTTATGTAGTGACACACTAACAGCTAACACACAGTGCTTGCTGTGTGCCAGGCACTCTTCTTAGTGTTTTACAAATACTAACTTATTTAATCCTCACAACAGCCCTGTGAGGTTCCCCATTTTGCAGCTGCAGAAACTTGTCACAGAGATGTTATTCACTTGCTCAGTAGTGGAACCAGAGTATAAACTTGGGCCCTACGTCCAGGCCCCCAAACTTGTTGAGAATGGCCCAGTACATCTCCCAGCAGCACATTTACATGGTATCCCTCCCAGTGGCACGGTGCTGTACTATGCAGGTGGACCTACTGCAACTTAACTCGATCAGCATTCTTGCCTTTTCCATTTCTTTCTTTGAGACCTGGGTTTTGTGGCCCAGATGTGGCCCCTGTGACATGTTCCTAATTTGGCAGGTATCTATTTTCTCATAATTTGATTACCATATTATTACACAGTTTCCACATTTTTTGCAATTCTTATTTTTATAATTAAAGAATAATAGAGGGGAGACCCAAAAAACAATTTATTTTTTAAAAGTATATTTATTCTTACATGTTTAAACTTCAGTCATCCTCAAAGTACTCTCCATCTGATGCAGTATACCTATTGAGATGCTTTTTCCACTGCTCAGAACAGTTTGTGAACTTGCCAATTTTAATGCCTTTTGGTGCTTCTGGTTTTTGTTTCACTTTTTCCACGCTGGCAAAATATTTCCTTTGAGGACTTTTTTCATCTAGGGAGACAAAAATGTCACTCAGGGTGACACTGAGTAATTAGGAAGGGAGAGTGAGCTTTGGGGGTTATGCTGTTTTTTATCAAAAACTGCTGAACACTAAGCACAGTGCAGGCAGGTGCGTTGTCATGGTGGAAGAACCAGTCACCTGTTTGCCATTATTTGGAACTTTTCTTTGCAAATTGTGATGCACCCTTCTCAAAACTTCCAGATAGAAACTTTGGTTGACTGGTCCAGAGGAATAAATTCTGAGTGTACTATAAAGGGACCGCCTTCCAAAAAATAATTCTGGGTTTTTTGGGGTCCCCTTTTGTATAATTTTACATTTTGTTCTTAAGAAAGAAACTTAATTCATTGATCTGACTTAATTTAAACAGCTGTAATGAGCAGAATGTAGATTTTTTCCTTTGTAAAGACAGGCTAATCACCAAGATTACAGTGCTTTAGTTATTTGGAGTGTCTCAGTCCCTTTCAGGTTCATTCATATGTATTACTGTAGGTTGTTGGTCTGTGACACTTCGTCTTTCCTTCTTTCTTTGTTAGACACAGGGTCTTGCTGTGTTGCCCAGGCTGGTCTTGAACTCCTGGCCCCAAGTAACCCTCCTGCCCCAGCCTTCCCAAGTGCTGGGATTACAGGCAGGGCCGCGGCTCTCAGCCTTGTTACACTCTTGAATCCAGTGTTCCCAAGGCTGTCGATACTTCCGCTGAGCATGCTGGCCTTGAGGGGGCGCTGTGCCAGGCCTACACGAGGCCTGCTGCCGAGGCCCAGTGCCCAAGAAAGCACCTGTTGGAGTCAGCAGCTCTCCGCCTGTGAGGGAGCGCCCCCTGTCCTCCGGTGCCCGCCCCACTCCGCAGCGGCGCCTTCAGCCAGCCGGGCTTCTTCCAACTCGCCCTGTGGAGGGGCGGCATTTAAAAACTTTGTAGCGAACGTTCGATCGCAGTGCCTGTGTTTGAATGTGTTTGCGTCTGCCGCGGAACCCTAGCCAGCCAGTAGGATCAACATGTGACGGTTATGTCAGAGGTCACTTGAAAAGCTTCCAGGCCCTGCCTCTGCCCCCTTTTCCCTCTAAACAGAATCTGTGGTGAGTTGTGCTTGTTCTCTCTTGATGAAAGTGGGGTGGGACCTCAAACAAGCCAGAGGTTCCTGGCGTCAGAGCTAGGCTTGAGAATCAGGAGGAGTGGAGGCAGCTGCTCTTGAGTGAGCCGTGGACGTGCTGCAGGGACAGAGTATGTCAGCAGGCGGCATACACCCACATCAGGCTAGGGAGGATCTGTGTTCCAGAGGGCTGAGAAGGAACAAGCTATGTATCCAAACAGGCCTACTAGTGAACACCATTTTCTTCTCTGACAGTGAGATAGAACCATGATCAAGAGGTCCTGAACTGGGTGTGGTGTATGGCTCATATCCCTACAGTGTTCCTGTGTGATCAGCTGCATGAGTTCACGAGTGGTGACGTGGATCGGGCCGAGCCAACCTGCTGCCTTCCACCCTGGACCTTGCTGACTTTACTTGAATTGCTAAGGGTCCTGGCTATTAAACGTTCTCTGTGTGTGATCATATAATAGGATATCTCTTACTAAATGTAATGCCTAATAAAACTAAATGTTCTGTGGAAACAGAGTGTATGCAGGAAAGCAGAAGCAACTACCAGAAACTTAGGACTTGGAGTCAAAATTCTAGACAGTGACTTAACCTCTCTGGCTTTGCTTTTCTCCTGCATAAGATGGGGAGGTGGGCGACAGTGCTGCCTCCCGTCTCCTCCCCAGTGCACTCTGCTCACAGTCCAGCAGCGTCTGCTGCCAGGCAGCTGCACTACCCCTTGACCAAAGCTTCCATCCTGTGCCACGCCACTTTTCGGGACCTTCTCAGGTCAGCTCTTGTTCATTCTTGAAGGCTCAGTTCAGGCTTCGCCTCTTTTACTTTCTCCGGCCTCATTACAACTCCACTTCCTCTGTGCCATTACATAGTGCCACAGGTATACCTCATCACACTGCTTTGCACATTATATTGTAACTGTTTCCTTTGCAGTTCTCCCCATTAAACTAAAAACTCTTTAAGAATAGAGGCGTGAATGTCTTGTTCAGTTTTTGTCTTCACCATCAAGCGTGGCACCTGGCGTGTAGCAGATGTTCCTTGATGTGTGACTAGAAGGAAGAGAGGAAGGAGTAAATGAGCTGGTACATGTGAAGGCATTTTGTAAACGGTAAAGTGCTGTGCACATGTCCGTGTGATTTTGCACCGCATTCCTTAATGACTTGCTTTTTAATGCTCGAATGTCCGTTTTTAGACGGCCTTGGTCCTGCTAATATAATTCTGGAATACTGGCTATATCTTGTAGCTTCAGGACAGCATCTTTTTTTGTTACAGAATTATATTTTTCACATTGTGTCCCAGCAATTTAATTAATTAGGCTTGGCTAGCTAGGTGTATTAGTCTGTAATTGCCTCATAGCTTGTTAATGGAAATTTATATTTTCGCCTGACGGCGTGTCTACCTCAGTCTTTACTGTTTCACACTGACAGTGAAAAGAAAAGCCCATTTATCACCCTGAGGCTAGACCGGACCGCTGTTTCTTCATCCTGAAGTCTGTTCTGAAAATAAACACGACTAGATGTTATTAGGATTTTAGAAACGTAGCCTTTAACGCAGTATTCTGTATGCATTAACACTTCTCTTCCAATATTTTGACGGCAAGGATATTGGATTCCGGCTCGACTCACTACACACCATCCTGCAGCAGGAAGTCCTGTTACAAGAGGATGTGGAACTGATTGAGCTGCTGGATCCCAGTGTCCTGTCTGCAGGGCAGCCTCAACAACAGGAAAATGGACGCCTTCCAACACTTTGTTCCCTGGCAGCCCCTAGTATTTGGTACAGTCCAGAACACATCTCTCATTTGACTGCTTGCCTGTAGAGTATTAACATAGGAGCTCATCGGCATGTGCTCCCTTGTTAAGGCATAAACATTCTGTAAATTTAGCAGTATCATGAAGGTAACAACTCGCTAAAAGCTAAAAATGCCTTTCCTAAAGTAAATACTTATTTACTTATTTATATTTATGAGTTGGAGTCTGACTCTGTCACCCCTGGGGTGCAGCGGTATGCTCACAGCCACCACAGCCTCGACCTGCTGGGCTCAGGTGATCCTTCCATCTTAACCTTCCAAGTAGCTCAAATTATAGGCACGCACCACCATACCCAGCTAATTTTTTTTATTTATTGTAGACATGAGGTCTCACCAAGTTTCCCAGGCTGGCTGCGAACCGCGGTCTCAGGCAGTCCTCTATCTTGACCTCCGAGAGTGCTGGATTATAGGCGTGAGCCACCGTGCCTAGTCGTAAATACTATTAAAAGTGAAGCGAGGAAGAGGATCCAATTTGATGTTTATATACTTCCAACTCAGTAGAGTTAGTTTTTGCCTGGCAACCTAGCAGACAGCTATAGCACGTGCCAAGAAGACTCTCTCTCACCCATGTCTATCCCTGTGCACATGTGTGCATGTAAACCTAGCCGGTTCTTTATGTTTCATTATAATTCGTGGATTGTACCATAACCAGGAACAGGAATGGGACGTGGAGGTGTAGACAGTTGGCTTTTGCTGGGGCAGGGAAGAGATGGTAAGGAATATGGTTTGATGATTCTGACTGTGCAAAGCTTTGCAGCCACTTCAGGTATTCAGGCCTAATGCGAAAGGCCCAGGCAGCGATCTGGTGGAAAAAAAGAAGAGTGAAAAGGGACTACTGATAAAGTAACGTTGATGTCCTCTTCCTGTTAGAGCACATTAAATTTGACGAGAGGACTGAGTCAGGAAGTAGATGCCATCACAGCTCAAACTGCTCAGGTTACACACCGTGGCCTCAGGCTCTGGATTTATGTCTTTCCTGTCACACTGACACAAATTTCACTTTGTAACCAGTAGCAGATACGTTTTCCAAGTGTGCAGCCACTCTGATGTCATCATGAGGAAATAAAGTATCTTTGGAAAATATAAGAATTTCAGGAGCTGCTAGAGGATACCATAAGTTTAAGAATGCACTACTTTTAGTTTTCTGTAGACACAAATGTGATCGAGCAGCTATGAGACCTATAAACGCTTTGAGAGTTTGCCGTTAATGCATTCGGTTGTATGATAAGATTTTGCCTTAGGATATTACCAGCATCGTCTAGAAAATAAAGCATTCTAAGGAAAATCAGGGCAAATATTTATTAAAAGACGTTCTTATATGTGATTTCTTTGCAGTATGATCCTAACACTCTCCAGACATGGTTGATGTTGTTTTTCAGTTATTCCCAGATTCATTCTCCAGTATTTCCACTCTTATGTATACACTTTTTTTTATTGTTTTTTGAGTTGGAGTCTCACTCTGTCACCCAGACTGGAGTGCAGTGGCCCCTCCTGGCCACTGCAGCCTCGACCTGCTGGGCTCCAGCAATCCCTCTGCCTCAGCCTTCCAAGTAGCTGGAACTACAGGCACACGCTACCACGCCCGGCTAATTTTTTGATTTATTGTAGAGATGAGGTCTCACCAAGTTGCCCAGGTGGGTCTCGAACCCGTGGGCTCAGGCAATCCACTCACCTCAGCCTCCCAAAACATAGGATGACAGGCTGAGCCACCAAGCCCGGCTTGTATACACATTTTTATGAAAGCCTTCATTGATTAAAAGATGTATTTTATCAGATTTGTAATTGGCCTGAATTTTTAAAATGGATCAGTACTTTTACTTTAGTTTGTACAGTGTTGCAGTATAAAGCTCATCCCTATCATGAGATGTGATGAGCATGTATTTTCCAAACTAGTAATGATGATTGTTTAAAATCAGAGAACTTTATTCAAATCAAGTTACTCACAAAGTATGAATTATTTCTAATTGAAAACATACTTGCACATTCTTGATATAGTATGTATCTCTATGTAGATAAAGTCTGAACTTAAGAGAAAGGAATGCAGAATATCTCTGAAACCGTATTTTGACGTTTAAATCTGTAAAATTGGATTTTGAAATCTGTAATTCACTTTTTAAGGATTCCATATCTTTTATATTTTTAAAAAATGGTTTCAGAAGATACCAATTTTTTGCATTTATCATCATTTTCATTAATATATGTGTCATAAAATAAATGTAACCATTGCTTTGGGGATCATAAAGGAAGAGGTTGACTAGAATTAGAGACAACTGTTTCAAGGTTTTGATAAACTTGTCACAGAAGACTTGGTATCAGAGGAGGCTTTGAAAGAGTGGGATTTTGTTATTAGATAAGAGATGGCACCAGGCAAAACGATAAGAAGGAGAGATACGTCTTGGCTATAGTACATGGAAGCTAGGCTGTGCGTCCACCACAACGTGATCCAGGCCAGCCTCTGAAGGGCCCCATACGGAGCCAGTGAACTTTGAGTTTGGCCTACAGGCAGCCGTTTTCTAGCTGCAGACTCTCGACATGTAGGAAGCGCAGAGCCTTTGGCTGCTTCTGCCCAGCGTTCAGTCACTCCCTGAGGAGACGTGCTTTTCTTGCCTTTACCTGGTTCCAGAAGATGCCTATTTCTGTGGTCCTTTCCTGAACTTCCCAGCGCAGGTTTTATACCTAGCACCGTGGTCGTGTTACTAGATTTTTAAATTACCTTCTTAAATGTTTCAGTTTTTAAAGTTAGGCTGTACAAAGAAGTCAGCAGTTTCTCTATTTTAGTAAGCTTAAGTTGGCTGCTGTTTTCACTGAGTAGAGGGACTCATCTTTCTCTAATCTGATTACGTCGTCTCTTGCTTCCTTGCTCCTAGGGATGTCTCGGTGCTCTTTGCCTCCATTGGTTTGTTCATCATGCTTCCCACTTGGTGGGCGGTCTCTTCCTGGCTGGCATGGGGCATGACTCTGCTCGCTTATCTGGTCATAAGGGCTTTGCGATTCTGGAGGACAGCCAAACTACAGGTGACCCTGAAACAATACAGTATTCGTTTGGGAGATATGGCAACAAACAGCCGAGCTTTTACTAACCTTGTGAGAAAATCTTTGCGTCTCATTCAAGAAACTGAAGTGATTTCCAGAGGATTTACACTGTGAGTTCATTTTTTGTTTTATTTTTTAAATGATTCTTTCTATGCACAGTTAATGAAGAATATTACCTATTTTCATTTGTGTTGTATTTATAGGAAAAGAGTGGGTTTCTCTTTAGCACTTATGAAAGTATATTAACTGCAAAGTGAAAGAATACACATAGTATATGCTATACAATATGTAGTGTGATTCTGCTTGTCTACTTTGAGAAACCACAATACATTGAGAATCATGATTATTCTGTATTATCATCATGCGATTATATGAGATAACAGAGCAGGCCTAACACGAAACCTGGCGTGCAGTAGTTACCAGTAAATGCTTGCTCCCATCACCCCCTTTCAAATGCCCCTTCCCCAGTCTAAATGATAGACGTATCCGATATAAATTCATTTTGAAAAATCTTGACGTGTATTAATAATACTCTTTAGGTAAATGTTAGCAGATATTACAGCACTAATGCTCTCAGAATATCGTGCAAATAGTGATATTTCACAGTCCCATGGGACATTAAATGCTCGTCAGTTTAGCTATAAACATATTAAGCTACAAGATATACTGGCTACTTATTCTGTTTTGTGCACTGTGCTAGTCACTTTTGCATACCACAAGAGGCACACAATTCTAGGTGGTAGAGCAGATCTTCAAGTCCATTCCATTTGACTTGAAGGCCCCTTTCCAGTATCCTAGGCTGCCAGCTACACACTAACAGATGGCAGTTGTATGCTAGTACATTTAATACTGTTTGTAACTCATATCACCTTTGCAGTCCATAGATGGTAGAAAGTCAACATGTGGTGGAGAGTGAGCACTGCTCATCACTGGTGGGGTCTAGAAAACCGTGAAGAGAAACATGCAGACTGGTGGTCGTCACGCCCTCCGCTCTCCCCAAAGACCCCCTTGCACAGGCTTGACGGGTGCCACTCTGGATGGTCACAGAACACGGGAGGAGAGGCAGACCCAGGAGTCGTCCTGTTCCCCAGCTGTTGTGTCTACACAGCAATCCCAGGACATAACGGGGGTGTCAGAACTTCTCTTTATGCTCAATTTAGAGTATAAGAATCCTTAGTGTCTATTGATTTGGGCCTCCCGCTAGTTTAAGTCTACTTATTGATAGAGCATAACACATTTTAAGTTGTTTGATTGTCAGATTTTAAAAGTTAAAAAAAAGTCACACTTAAAATCAGCCTTAGCTTTGTTCATTCTGGGGAGGACTGCCTGCTTGAGCAACGTGGCTCTGTGTCCACCGGTGTTCGGCACGTCAGGAGGATCCAGGCCCTTGGTGGTCTTCCAGCCTCGACCCCCACGCGTGAAGTGACGAGGTGAAGTGGGCCAGCCAGAGGTGACCCCCTGCAGGCTGTGCCTTCCTCCGTTTAGAGGGCAGACAGGCAGGAGAAACGCTGGAAGACACAGGGCTTCGTTTGCCTCTCTCCACCTAGCTACTGGGTTGGGAAAATGAGCAGTGCTTCTTCCGTCGTCATTTTCTTCTGTTCTGTTTTAAGCACTGATTTAGTAACAGAGCACAAGCAGAAGACTGTGGATTGAAACTGTGAAGGCTGCTCTGTCTCTGCCCCAATTTGTCCTCTCACAAATCATTTGAACCTTGTTTGCTTTCATTCCCTTGTCTTAAGCCTGTCAGTCATGATCCTCGCTTTATGTAGATTTTTAGTGCCTGGATATACTTCAGTGCAGTTTGATACTTTTAAAGTTTTGAGTTGGATGTCTTGTTTTACAGATTTATGATTGTGGTGTAAGAAATGTACAGATGCCAGTATCTTGTTTGGCTCTTGGGAGGTGTTCCTGTTTAGGTGAAAGAACTGTTACCTGATGATTACGTACTATTTACTCCTGCGTGTCCTCACTTATAAAGCATGGCTGTCGAAATAGCTGCTCCCGTCAGTCTCTTGGAAAGCGCCGTGAGACGCGCTTTCTCGCGAGCAGAGTTGCGAGTGCTGCCACACAGTAACCCTCGCCTTGCCCTTCTGCTTGCCCTCCCCTGTGGCCACTGGTCCTGTTGCCTTTCTGCGTCCCTACTTCTTTTGAGTAGGTGAGTGCCAGTGGCCGCAGGTGGGTACGTCATTCTGCTGTTGTGAATGCACAGCATGTATTTCTAGATAGTATTTTTTTCTGTACAAGTGACCAAAATACGGCTACTGAGCGTACGTAAATGTACATTGAGAATGTGAAAGTGTTTCCGATTAAAGTGTTCGTGCTTCCTATAGATTGAGATTTTGAAAACTGAATGTCAGGTTGTTCCTCTTTGGTGTATTTCAGCACAGAGAATGTGTGTCAAAAAAGATGCAAACTCTTACATAAAGATTCCTACATTTCTGCTATATCTCATCTGAAAGTCATTGTTTCCTGCATTAGAGGAAGCCTTTATTCATTGAGATTTTAGTGTTTTGTCTTTTTCTTGGTAGCTGTCCATGTTTCAGAGAAATGACTATTTGATGAGACCTCAGTTGGTGTAGTCAGTCATTTTGGTAATGAAAATCATAAAAAGGAAATTTGTTTTTTAAGCTTAATAGAGTTGTGGATATAGGAAACAGAACCTTTAGGACACCTGCACAGTTGTATCACATTTTACTTTTCAAGTTTGCTTGACAGGGTCAGTGCTGCTTGCCCACTTAATAGAGCTGGCCAGCATCCCAGTCAGCATCTCATCGGCCTCCGGAAAGCTGTCTACAGAACCGTAAGAGCCAACTTCCAAGCAGCAAGGCTAGCGACACTCTATATGCTGAAAAAATATCCTTTTCTGTAAGTGGTAAGCAGCAGTGCCTCTCGAGTCCTGAAAATAGAGACTGTAGTTGCGTCCTGTGAAAGTTCACTGCAAACTGAGGCTGCCTGTTTTGCGGCTAAGTTCCCTCAGCACTTCTCTACTGAAGTTGGAAGTGCATCCCAGGGTGAACGATGATAATAGACGGGAAGCAAGTTCTGCTCTCGTGTAACTTGTTTTCGGCCGGAAAAACGTGAAGTCCTTGCCGTTTACTAGCCCGAAGCAGAAGCAGCATTCAGAAGAGCCTGGCCTTGCTAGGTCTGACATGTTGAAAATTTCCGAACAAGGCAAATCCATGTCATTATGTGCCAATAAACTGGCAACAGTCAGTCTTCCTCTTTAAAAAAAAAAACAAGCTGTAGGCATCTATTGGCCAAGTTCAAATTTTGGCTGTATCAGTCACTGCCTAGGTGACCTCAAACAAGTTTTCTCAGCCTCTCTGTACCTTGCTTTACTCCTCTTTAAAATGACAGTGATAACCTAATCTTCCTCATTGTATTTTTGTTAGGATCACATGAATAATGCATATCAAGTGATTAGACAGTATCTAACAAAAAGTAAGCACTCAAAGACTGCATGACAAGTCTTTAATAAATTTAAGTCACTAAAATTTATTAAAATAGGAAGTTAATTCTGTTAGCCAGAAAATAAAGGCATATAGATCTTTATTTTGGTAGACTCATAGGTGAGTTCTATTATGAATAAATGAAGGACAAAAGTATTGCTTTGCACCCTCAGTATGCTGAGTACTACAGCACTGTTAAAGGTAACACTTAAAGTTTACCAAATGCTTTATGTTCTATCCTTATATCCTTATACAAACGTTCCTAACTAGATGTTCTTGTTTCTCCTTTATGAGGAAGCAAAAATAGAGCTTAAGTGACTTGCTCAGTGTCACACAACTAATAACAGATGAAGTCATGTCTTGAGTGTCAGATTTGTGACTTAAAACAGTACACATATATATACTTTTTTTAAAAAATTTATTGTAGAGACGAGGTCTCGCCAAATTGCCTGGACTGGTCTCAAACCTGCGGGCTCAGGCAGTCCCCTCGCCTCAGCCTCCCAAAGTGCTGGGTTTACAGGCTGAGCCACCAAGCCTGGCCTCATATATATGCTTACTATACTATCTCTTCGGAAGTAGAAATCATTTTAATTTTCATCGGGAACTTGTCCATTTCTTTCTCTCATTGCCTAAATGTCTGTCTGTCAACCATTCTTCTAGCTGCTAGGAATAAAAACATGTACTACCCACTTCTAAATACTTTTGTTTTTTGTTTGAGTTGGAGTCTCACTCTGTTACCCAGACTGGAATGCAGTGGCCGCTGCCGGCCACCACAGCCTCGACCTGCTGGGCTCCGGCGATCCTTCCACCTCAGCCTTCCGAGTAGCCGGAATTACAGGCATGCGCTACCACGCCTGACTGGTTTTTTTTTTTTTTTTTTTTTTTTTTATTGAGATGAGGTCTCGCTGCCCAGGTGGGTCTCAAACCCGCGGGCTCAGGCAATCCACTCACCTCAGCCTCCCAAAGGCGCGGGATTACAGGCTGAGCCTGGCTTCTAAATACATTTGAATGTGATCAGTAGATAAGCCAGTGTTCATAATACAGTATAAATGTCCAGATATCTTCCAAAATAACAGAGCAAGGGACTCGTCTTAGGGGATCAAAGAAGGCTTTTGGGGAGGTGACACCTGAGTTGAGCCTCAAGGACGAATAGGAGGTAACTATGAGAATGGTGAGAGTCTGCATTCCAGGCAGAAGGAGCAAAATATATGGAAAGAATTAGAGATATGATGGTGTGACATGTAGTCATTCAGTTGATATTTACTGAGCATGAACTTAGTGCCAGGCAATGTGCTAACCACTAGGTACACAGTGTTAAACATAGTAGACATGGTACCTGCTCATGGAGCTTATAGTTGAGTTTGGGGCAAGGACTGGGGCAGGGGCAGCCTGATGAGGACTTCAGATTGTATGAGCTCTTTTAGAAACTGAGGCCTCACAGTGAACAAGACAGACAAACTCCTTGTTCTCATGGAGCATACTTCTAGTGAATGAGATAATCAGTGAAACATGATGAGATGTTCAGGTAGAATGATTGCTATAAAGAGAAACAGCAATAAGATGGGATAGAGAAGGGTTGGTAGAGTGCTGCTTCTGATGAGGTGGTAGGATGCCTCTGCAGAACTGGCATGTAAACTGAGATGATGAGAAAGATCTAGGGGAGAGGGCCCCAGAGATGACCCTGCCAGCATCCTGTGGCAGGACTGAATGAACATGATCAGAGTATAAGAGGAAGACCACTGTGACTGTAGCACAGTAAGCCGGGGGTTGAGGAGCCAGATCATACCTCCATACAAGACATCGTAAGCAATTGAAGAAGAAAGGAACCCACCGACTATTTGAGAAGACTAATAAGTTATGTAAACCCCTGTATGCATGATCAAAGAAAAAAATCAGAAATATGCAAGACTGGTAGTGAGAACGCAGCAGGAACCACGCACGTGGAAGACATCAAATTAATTGCAAGGGGTTAGTATATGCAGCGCTGTGGCAGCAACGTTGAAAATGTATGAGAAGTGGTTCATTTCTCATCAAAACACAAATCTGAAAAATTGACCTAGAAAGAATTTTAAAACTTAGAGATTGGGCCTATGATTTAAAATATTCCATTTAAAAAATAAAACACCTGATTATTTATACAATGGGAAATATCATTACAACTATTGTTTAAAATGATAGAGTTCTTGATGCGCCACTGTGGAATGATGTCCAAGTTTTATTAAGTGAATAAAAAAGACAAAGTACACAGATCATTTTTAGTACCCTTCAGTATATGTATTTAAGCAGTGATGAACATGTCTGTGTGTTTGTACACCTGTGTGTATATATACCTACATATTTCCAGTACAAATTTGTATTTGGTTTTGCTTTGGGGTGTGTATAAAATGTCTTTTTTTTTTTAGTACGAATCTCACTGTGTCGCCCAGGTTGTCACAACCACTGCAGCCTCGACCTGTTGGGCTCAGGTGATCCCTCCACCTCAGCCTTCCAAGTAGCTGGAACTATAGGTGTGTGCCACCATGCCCAGCTAATTTTTTGACTTATTATAGAGATGAGGTTTCGCTATGTTGCCCAGGGTGGTGTCGAACACCTGGACTCAGGCAATCCTTTCACCTCTGCCTCCCAAAATGTTGGTATTACAGGCGTGAGCCACTGCATCCAGCTACATAAAATATCTTAAAGCATACACAAGACAGTGGTAACAGGGACTGCCTTTGCCTTTGGATAGGAGATCTAGGAGACTAAGGAATGTGGTGGAAAGCAGTTTTCACTGTACCCATTGATACCTCATGAATTTTGAGTCCTGTGAATATACTACCTATTCAAAAACTAATTAAATTTTAAAATGTTTAACTACCAGGTCTGGATGACTTTATAGTTTAAAAAAATTAGACCATAGAAAAGGTTGGAAATCTCCCCTATATCATCTTATTTATGAAAATACTGTAATTTCAGTATCAAAATATACTGTATTATAAAGAATGAAAACTATAGACCAGTCTCACAAATGGAAACACAAAAACATTTAGACTGTTTATAAACTTAATCTAGCACTGTATTGAAAGATTATTATGATATTACCAAAAAGGAATATGCTACAAGTGCAAGGATGGTTCAGTATCAAGAATTGCGCAGGTATATTTATTGACAAAAGCAATTAAAGGGAAAACAAAATTTTATTGATATTGATGTACCTACAAGGAGGACTGAGGAAACATAACAGTTTATGTCACACAACCTGGATGGAATAGGCTTAGTGCCACTTGTGTCAGTAGTCTGTGTATTTCCGTTGATGTTCAACTAATGACGTCCTACACTACGAAGAGAGGGGGAAAAAGAGGAGTATTTACTGGAGCATCGTGAGGGCCTGTACCGCGACACAGTTAAATATACTGTATAGCTTCAAAAGGTAGCTGTCAAAAATAACCAAGCACTTTAGCACTTCAGAAGAACTGAACTTTTAATTATTTAGACCTAAAAATTTATATGTACCAGTGTCTTCTGAGATACCTGAGGTCTTACGTTAATATATTACACTTTGTATTTTAATGGGGGTCTCACTCATCACCTATGCTAGAGTGCAGTGGTATAATCACGCCTCAGCACAGCCTCAAACTCCTGGGCTCAGGTGATCCTCCCAAGTAGCTGGGACTACAGGCACACACCACTACTGATTATTTTTATAGAGACGAGGTCTTACCATGTTGCCTAAGCTGGTCTCAAACTCCTGGGCCCAAGCAATCTCCCTCAGCCTTCCAAAATGCTGGGATTATACGTGTCAGCACCAAGATTAATTTCTGTTTAAAAACTGCTATAAATCTCCTCGTAAAATTTCAGAGTAAAGCTTGGTAAATGTAGTTTGGGACAATTTTACTGTACCTTTTAAGCCTTAATGAAAGGGCTTCGTTGATTGCCTTAACCTAATTTAACCTACCCCCTGAATTCTGAGAGTGACAATGTAACCAACTACATCTGTGTGGTGCCTTTGAAGGAGCTGGGCCTTGGACTTAGTGAAGAACAGATTTCCGAAGAGGAAGCACATAGCTTCACAGATGGCTTCAGCCTGCCTGCATTGAAGGTACTGCTTAGGGAGGGGCAGGGGGGCCGTGTCCGCCTGACCGTGCTTGTGCTTTCTGAATGCGTGTGTACACATGACTGCTCCCCTTTCCTGTTTGCTGAACACTCATCGTGATGCCTCCGTGATGTTGGTGACACTGTCTTTAAAAGCTGAGCACGTCATAAAGATTGGATGAGGCGAGCCTTATATTTTGATGTCAAAATACTTAACATTCTTCAGATGTTTAAAAATGACTTAAGTTTGAGGTCAGAGATAAGTGAATTTACTTTACTTGGAAGCCAGTATGACTGATTTTTGGACTAACCGTCTGCTTTAACAAACATGGATAAAGAATTACCTCCAAAATCCTTGTAATGTAGAATAAGAACATTTTTCATATACTAGAAGCCATATGAAAGTATACATTTGGCTATGTAAAAATTAAACTTGTGGCTTCAGATACTGCATACTTTAAATGTAGACAAGCTCAAGAAAAAATCGCAGCGGTTTGTAACAGAGGACTTGAATTCCTTCTGTGTAAAATGAGCACTAAGGCATCTAAAACCCGCAGAAGGTGGACTAGGTGCATAAAGCGCAGGTCACATAGGGAGGAACATAGATCGGTCCAAGCGCAGTGATGTCCACAACTCGTTAATCACAGCCAGTTAGGATGTCTGTTGTTTCTCTGCTCTTACTGCTTCACTTGACCAGCCTTAAAAAAAGAAATTAAGGGGGGTGGGGGATTGGCAGTAGTGGGAATCTGCTGAGGGAGGAAGGGGACACACCTCATTAACAAAGGTACCTACATAATAAACATTTGTATCCCTAACCCTGAATTGTACCCATCTTCACAATTAAAAATTAAAAAAAATTATAGGTGGCCAATAAATAGGACACATTTTTCAATCTTAGTAATGGAAGAAATACAACTGAAAATAATAGGTTAGCCATTTGCTGAGAATACTGAAATTTGGTGATATTGGTTATCAACCTTCATAAAGGTTCAGCAATTTTACCCTCACAGATTTATCCCAGGAAGTAATCAAAGATATACTCAAACTGTGTTCATGATATTACCCCAGTGGCAAATATTGGAAACAAAAGTTTTATAATATGGAATTGGCAATGATCTATGATACATGCAATTGATGAACTGCTTTGGAGTTAGTAGTAGAAAAACATTGAAGAAAAATAATAACATGGAAAAACCTAAGTTAAAGCAAGTAGCAAAATGTTTGTGTGCTGAGATTCCAGTAGTATTTTAAAGATACCAATCCAAATGTCTTAAATTCCTTTTTGGTATTTAGAAGTATATTTTGGTAGTTTAAAGCTCTCTCTCTTGCTTTGTTTCTAGTCTTTAAAATGTCCCTTGGTACTGTGAACATCGTTGCCAGTGTAGTTGACACTACTTATGAAGATCCATTTTAGTTTGAGACTGTATCAACATCTACATCTGTGGAATTTTCCAGCCCACATAAATGTTCTAAACCTTCTGTCATTGTCGCTTTTTCTTTCTTTCCTGTCACTTGCGGTTTGCCTTGACTTACTCCTGCCTTCATTCCAGCCCATCCCAGTAAATGGCGTCGTGCACCTGGGCACCCTTTCTTCATCCCTCCTTTTACTCCCTCACATCCGGGCTGTCAGACTCTCATGTCAGTACCTTGTGCCTTCAGAGCGTGTCTTGCCCCTCTCCACTTTTTCTGTGTCCCCTCCCACAGCCACCATTATTTCTTACCTCGCCTGCCACAGTTGTCTTCGTGGTTTCCTCAGTTCCCAGAATTTACTTGTTTCGGAATGCAGTGGGATGTATGAAGAGCCTTTGGAATGGTTTACTTTTGAATTGGTATCTCCACTTCTGCACACCTTAAGGAAATTATTCTAAATATAGCTGAGCTATATGTACAAAGTTGCTGACTAGCTTTGTGTTTATCATAGTGAAAAATGGAACCCTGCCTGCATGAATGTTCAGCAGTAGAGGATGGCTACATGGATAGAGGATTGGCAAACCATTGTGTAGCAGCTACAACTTGCTGATGGCAAATTTCCAAAAACTTGGAGAAACGTCTGTTTCCAGTGAAGCAATCAGGATACCTAAGTATACATGCACTATGGCCATAACTCTAGTGGGCCCCCATTCCCCAATTGTGGACCTGGTACCCCGTGTGTTGCCACATGCCCCCCTCCATTCCCTGGCAGTGTCCAGTGTCTGCCGATTCCACCCTTGTGCTTGTGTGACCTGTGATCAAAGCCCGATTATGAGTAAGAACATACAATATTCATTTCTTTATTTCTGTGATAGTTCACTTCTCAGGATGGTGGTCTCCAGTTATATCCATGTTGCTGCAAAGGCCACGATTTTGTTCTTTAAGGCTGCATGGTATTCCATCATGTATATGGACCGTATCTTCTTTGTCTAGTCCACCTTCAGTGGGGATCTGGGTTGGTTCCATGTTTGTTGCTATTGTGAACAGTGCTGCGGTGAACATATGTGTCCCGGTATCTTTGTGGTAGAGCAACTTATGTTCCTCTGGGTATATTCCCAGAAATGGGATTGCTGGATTGTATGGTAGCTCAATGTTTAGTTCTTTGAGAAAATGCCACACTGCTTCCCACAGAGGTTGAATTAGCTTATGTTCCCACTAACAGTGCACGAGTGTTCCCTTTTCTCTGCAGCCTCGCCAACACCTATTGTTTTTTGACCTTTTAGTAATAGCCATTCTGACCAGTGCAAGGTGGTATCCCATTGTAGTTTTGATTTGCATTGCTCTGACGATTAGTGAAACTGAGCATTTTTCACATGTTTGTTGGTTGCTTAGATATCTCCCTTTGAGAGGTGTCTGTTTATGTCCTTTGCCCACTTTTAATGAGACTTTTCTTCCTGTCTGTTCATCTGAGTTCCCTGTAGCTCCTATGGGAGGCCTTTGAGGGAGACGTAACTTGCATAGTTTTTCCCATTCCATGGATTGTCTCTCTACTCTATCCCCTACCACGGGCCTCGTCCTTGCCACCTTCACTCTCTTGAGAGTTTCTTTTTGCTGCTGATTCTACGATTCATTGAAATAATGTCCGTTTTCATGCATCATCAGACTCTAAATTACCCACAGTGGTTCTGTCTTCTTTTTATTGTCTGCCACCACTTGTCCATGCTACGTTGTTTCCTCATGTATTCTTTAGGGGAATGCTTTGCTTATCTTGAATAGGACCTTACCTGGAGAAGTCCTTTGCTGCCTGGATTGAATGTGTCTCTCAGGAATGAGACACTCTTGGATGTGACCACTCTTGGCCTGACTTTTATGCTCATTTCTTAGCTAATTCGATGGCCTAATTTTGATCCCCAAACTCTGAATCCATCAGTGACTTATTTATTTGGATTTGTATATATCCATCAATCCTACCGTCTTCTTTTCTCCTACGCAGATTTTCTTTTAGTCAGTATCTTGCTATATCGCCCAGTCTGGAGCACAGTGGCGATTCACAGGTGCCATCATAACTCCCTACACTCTCAAACTTCTGGCCTCAAGCAGTCCTTCCGCTTCCGCCTCCGCCTCCCAGGTTGCTGAAATCACAGGCACACACAACTGCAGCTAGCTGGAAATTTCTCTTTAATAATTCATGAGTGAAGATTCACTTCTAATAAATGTATTTCATTCCACCAGTACTTCTCATATAGGTAGATCTGTACTAAATTGTATTTGGTGCTACCTGATCTGTGGGGATCAGAAGCTTTTTACATCCCATGACTACATAACTTAATATAGCATTCTTGCCTAAACTTAGAGTTAATTGAAGCCCAGCTAGACTCATGATTTAGGATAAATGGGAAATTTAAGCCAGAAGTTCACATAAATTCGTCGTTTGTTTTACATCGGCCAGTCTTTTGTGTTGACATGGCCCTTGTGTTTTTTAGGTTTTGTTCCAGCTCTGGGTGGCGCAGAGTTCAGAGTTCTTCCGACGGCTTGCCCTGCTCCTTTCCACAGCCAGTGCCCCTCCCGGGCGCTTGCTCACCCCTGCACTTCTGCCCCATCGTGTGTTGTCTGACGTGACCCAGGGTCTACCTCATGCCCACTCTGCCTGCTTGGAAGAGCTGAAGCGCAGCTATGAGTTCTACCGGTACTTGGAAACTCAGCACCAGGCAGCGCCCTCACGTTCTTCCCAAGCCTCGCCAAAGGCCAGGGAGCTGAGCAGTGTGCACACGGCCGTGCGTAGCCTGCAGCTCCACCTGAAGGCGCTACTGAACGAGTAAGTGCAGGGACTGCGTCAGGACGTGGCCCAGGACTGCAGGCTTCCTGCTTGGGCCACTGTGTTGCTGGCTTGTCCTAGCTAGAGGATACAGAATTGACACCTTTCATGGTTTAGGTTTATAGCTACAAATGTAGCAGCAGAGAAACAATGATTTGTCAGTACTATATTTTGGGACAGTTGTTCATAGTTCTTACTTTTCCTAATTTCCACGGAAAGCCTGGAAAGATCGGACAGTGGCAAATGTCCTCCATTCTCTGAGAGCTGAACTGAAGTTGCTAATGACGAATGAGTTTCTTATCCTTTTTCTGTTTTTTTGAATCAGGGTCTCCTTCTGTCACCCAGGCTGAAGTGCACCTCACCCAGGCTGAAGTGCACTGGTGCGATCATGACAATCATGGCTCATCATAGCCTCGACTTCCAGGCCTCAGGCAATCCTTTCTTCTCAGCCTCCTGAGTAACTGGGACTACAGGCGTGAGCCACCATGCCTGGCTAACTTTTTGATTTTTTTTTTTGAGATATGAGACCTTGCTGTGTTGCCCAGGCTGGTCTTGAACTCCTGGACTGAAGTGATTTTCCTGCTGCAGCCTCCCACAGTGCTGGGGTTCCGGGCATGAACCAACATACCTGGTCAAACGAGCTCCTTTTTACACTCTTGAGGTTGAGCTCTTCACCTGAGGCCTGCAGTCTAAGATGCCCGCCAGCACTAGAACAGTGTGTGGCCAAGAGGCATTGGTACATAGAGCCAAGCAGTGATATATTGCTCTTTTTCTAAATAAACTACAGCAGAGTTGGAAATTATTGGGGAGCACAGGACATGTTTTGTGGTCCCAGTTGAACAGTAAAATGCAGGATCCACAGTTTGTATCTGTTGATCTTCTGCCTTGTATCATATTGTTGGCTCATCTTAATTAGGTTATTTGCCCACTTTGGTGTACCTCTGTCGATTGAAAGACCTGCCATGGCCTGCTTGCAATCTGCAGTTCTGTAGAAAAGGCCTACTGTGGCCTGACAAGGCTCCCCACCTTTGCAAGGCTTAGATGTTACCCACACCAAAGTGCTGCCTCCACAGCACTTTCTCCTTCACTGGTCCCTGCCTGTGCTCGGAGCCAGGGGTGACCACCCCATCCTGAGCCCTCCCGACACCCTGTTGTCTTAGTGGCACCGTCCTCATTGGTCTGGATTCAGCCTGCGCTCCAGCTCACCAGTTCCATCCTTCTGGGCAAGTTTTTATGAGCTCTGTGGACCTCATTCCTTATCTGTACATGTTAGTTCAAACTTTTTATGGTATTGTATTTTATTTTCATATATGTATACTGTCCCTTATTCCGTTATAAATTCCTTATAAATAGGAGATGGGTTTAATTGATCTTTTCAGCTCATAAATGCCTAGATGTATGCAAGAAATATTTATTGAAATACTGTATGCAACCCTTTATAAGCTTTCGAAAAAAGTTGTAAAATAAATGTACCAAAAGTGACCACTGAGCCGTTTTTGAGTGTACGATGCAGTGGCGCCAAAGGCACACACCCCACTGTACAGCCACTGCCCCCAGGCCTCCAGTGTGCTTGTTTTTAATAAGCTTTGTGAATTATAAGTTTTCTGTTTTGCATTTTACAAATCTGTCTCTGTTTTTCTTTATCATTCAGGGTAATAATTCTTGAAGATGAACTTGAGAAGCTTGTTTGTACGAAAGAGACACAAGAATTAGTGTCAGAGGCATATCAAGTTCTCGAACAGAAATTAAAGTTGATTCAGCCCCATGTTCAGGCGAGCAACAGCTGCTGGGAAGAGGCCCTGTCTCAGGTGGACAAGCTGCTACGAAGGAGTCCAGACAGACAAGGTACCTGGGAGGGCGTCTGGCCCATGCGTGTCAGGTGTGCTGTCCCTCTTGAGTGGGATTTCAGGAGATGGTTTCTTGTCTGCATGATGACACTGTCTTTACAGTTTCTTAGTGTACTTTTATTTAAGTTGAATTTATATGTACAAAGTGACATTGAGTACAAAATCTTGGCCCTTATTTTATAAATAGAAAATGAATATGATGGAGTCATACCTCCTTTCTAAAAAACTAAAACGAGAGGATAAATTTTCATGTTTTGTTTTATTATTATTATTATTATAACTTCTGGCCAGGCACACTAACTCGCTTTGTAATCCCAGCACTTTGGGAGGCAAAGGAGAGATTATTGACTGAGCCCATGGGTTCGAGAGCAGTCTGAGCAACTTGGCGAGACCTCATCTCTACAATAAGTCAAAATATTAGCTGGACTTGGTAGCACATGCCTGTAGTTCTTAGAAGACTGAAGTGGAAAGATCGCCTGAGCACAGCAGGTCAAGGCTGCAGTGGCCGTGAGTGTGCCACTGCACTCCAGCCTGGGTGACAGAGTGAGACACTGATTCAAAAAAAAAAAAAAGAACTTCTGCAATGGCTCACACCTGTGTTTCTAACTCTTAGGGAGGCTGAGGTGAGAGGATCTCTTGAGCCCAAGAGTTCAAGACCAGTCTTGGCAACATAGTGAGACTCCATCTCTATAAAACTTAGCAGGGCATGGTGCTATGTGCCTGTAGTCTCAGTTACTCAGGAGGCTGTGGCAGGAGGATCACTTGAGCCCCGGAGTCACAGGCCACAGTGAGCTATGATCACACCACTGCATTCCAGAGGAAAACTGTATCTCAAAAAGAAAGAACTTCCAGTAACTTTTTTTCTGTTAGGATAATAAAATAATGAGTTTAATAGGCAGAGGCCAGTAAGACAAGGTACTTACTGCAGTTATTCAGAAATAATGGACAAATGATACGACTTATGCTCCATCTTCATTATTAATGACCTACTGCATTGTCATTGTTTAATGATGATAGATTGTTTTGTGCTGCTAGGTAAAAAGGCAATCTCAAGAGTTTTCACCAAAATGCCTTTTATTTGACTCAAATTTTATACTTGTTTTTACAGCACAAATTTTATTTTTAAAATTGGCATATTAATTTTTTTTTTTAATCACCAAGTTGATAGGCATAGGATTTGCACTGCGGTCAAAGATAGTTAATGCTTTATCATCCTGTTATTGCTTTGTTTACAGATAGATTTGTAATACCTTTTTAATGCCTTAAACAAGCATTAAATTCTTAATAGTAAAAGTATTAACTTTTTTCAAAGGAAATATTAATGTGCCAATTACTGATATATTACCCATAGCTTTCCTTTATATGTAAATATAAACGGTGAATACTTTTTTCTCCAAAGGATAAGTCTGCCAAGAAACTTTAATATATGCAAATACTTATGCATGTTAGACTTTTTTATTTGAAAAGCCTAGAGCTTTTGTGTATATTTTCTATAAATAGAAACACTCAGGAACAGGCATGGTGGTTCATGTCTATAATCCTAGCACTTTAGGAGGCTGAAGCAGGAGGATCACTTGAGGCCAGGAGTTTGAGACCAGCCTAAGCAACATAGTGAGACCTCATCTCTACAAAAATTACTTAAAAACTAGCCGGATTTGGTAGTCCTGTCTAATCCCATTGGCCATGACTCTTTTCTAATGCTGAATCTGTCTAATACTTTAATTTCAACTTTAGAGAGTAGGTTACCTTTCTACCCAGATCAGGCTTCCAGTTCCTCCCTCAGAGACCCCACTGTTCCTCGCATCTAATATATGATTCCAGTGCCCACTTTAACAGGACAGATATGAAACTGGAAGATTGATATGTCCCTATGCAAGGATGACACACAAAGGTGTGAAGCATTTCCTATTTTGAGATAGATATTTATATATATACAGGGTGCTCAAAAAATGTATACACATTTAAAGTATGATGTTTGCTCAAAAGATAGTGTTAATCAAATGAATGCTAGCGTCACCATGCAACAGGCATGACAAAGAAAATGGCAGAAGCACAGTTGAGTAAATGTCATACTACACATTGCTACCATAATTCTGTTCAGCTCTGAAAAGTAATACAGAGATAACGGCCCTTAAAATGTGCATGCATTTTTTGGCACCCTTGTATATATGTATATGCATATAATTCCCTGGTTACTCTGTGCAGTTACTCAGTTACTCTTGGAGCCTGGATTTACATCCCACATCTGCTACATACTAGCTTTGTAAATCTAAGAAAATCTGTGCCTCAGTTTCTTGTATGGCAGGTGGGGAAAGCCATGTATCTATACAAAGATATAATGAGAGAATCACAAGATAACACCTGTAAAACCACGGAGAATTGTCACTTTGACGGTACTCAAGGATTGCGATGGAAAAGATTCTATTAAGAAGTTTCCCCTTATTAAAAATATCACATTTTAAAACTTCACGTTTATTACTTCTAGGATGTTGCTACTCTGAGTGGCCCCAGACGGGTCTATAAGCATCACTGGGACTTGTTACCAGTGCACCCTGACTTTAAAACAGTCTGTATTTTAACAAGATCTGGTCATCTGTATGCACAGAACAGTTTGAGAAGCATTACTCCAGAGCAGGAATCTGCAAATTTTTTTCTCTAAATGACCATGTAGTAAATATTTTCTGTTTTACGGGTCTTGTGGTATCTGTTGTAGCTACTCAACTCTGCTGTTGTAGTGTGAACCTACCTATGGTCTCCCCTTAAATGAATGTGGCTGTGTTCTCATAAAAATGTTTTTGCGAAAACAGGCAGCTTGGCAGACTACTGCTGTCAGGAAGTAGAACTGAAGGACAGGGTGATTGGGACCTTTTCTCATTTTATACCCTTCTGTACTGTTTGAAACTTTTTCCATGAGCATATTTATTAAGAGTCCAATGTGTTGTTGTTGTTTTTAATTTAGAGCTATTTTTGTCAGGTATGGTGGCTCATGCCTATAATCCCAGCACTTTGGGAGACCAAGCTGAGAGGATTGCCTGACCCAGGGGTTTGAGACCAGCCACGCTTGGGCAACTTGGCGAGACCTTATCTCTATAGTAAATAAAAAAATTAGCTGGGCAAGGTGTGGCACACCTGTATTCCTAGCTACTTAGAGGGATGAGTTAGAAGGATCACCTGAGTCCAGCAGGTTGAGGCTGTGGTAGCCATGAGGATGCCACTGCACTCCAACCTGGATGACAGAGTGAGACCCCCAAAAAACTATAAATAAATAAATAATTTTAGGCCTATTTTTAGAGAACAGATGTGACAACAGAGAGAGACCCTCAACTCAAAAATAAATAAATAATTTTAGGCCTATTTTTAGGTAATAGACATAAACGTGAAAGAAATCCTAACAAAGGCTTCTTGTTTTTGTTGGGGTGTTCAGTGGTGTGTAATTTTACTTTACCACCTCAAATCTTTCATAGGAAATGGTCAAGAGTAAGGACATGCAAACAGATAATAGGTTTGAGAAAAAAGGCAATACTGTAAATGACTGTTTGCCCAAGTTGAAATTTAGTGAGAGAAACCTACTCCTAAATGTGGTACTGACCCGCCAGCATAGAAATTTATCCAAGTGCAATCTGTAGTGCATACACATGCCCATTACTTTCTCAGCAGGGCAAGTTCATTGTTGAACTCGTGACAGGTGCCCAGTAGATTTTTATTAAGTGAGCGGTATGCTGGTCTGGCACTCCCAAGACCGCTGGACATTTAGGAATTTGTGAGGCAGTTTGGCATCATTGACAGCTTAGTACTGACCTCAGTGGGTATGTGTACACCATGGAAGCTGGACATCACGAGGGCTGCAAGCTGGCTGTCGCCATCCTGAAAGCTGGATGGCAGCCCGCAGCTTAACGTCAGTAGTGGTACCCTGGATTTGTGTGGTTTTTTCCTTTCACTCAAAGAGCATCCATATGACAGCACTGATGGAGTGAAGTCTATGTTCTGCTAAGTAGGCAGTCATGGGACTCCCTGAGCATGCCTGTCATCTCTGGTCGGCATTGTTCTCAGCACATTCCTGTGTTCTTGTTTCATCTTTACTAGATAGTACTGCTGTCTTTACCACTGTCCTGCAGATCACAGTGACTTAAGCTAGAAAGTGGCAAGAGCTGGGATTCAGCCCAGGTGTGTCTAGCTGGAGCGCTCGTAGCTATGCTGTCCTGTCTCTCGTTAGTGCTACCTACTAATTTATCTTGGTGTTCAGCTATCTTGACTACAGCCAACTAACAGTCAACTTTTTATAACATTTCCCAAATACTTCTTTCTCTTAAAAAAAAAAAAAGTCATCATCTAGGTGCGGTGGCTCGTGCCTATAATCCTAGCACTTTGGGAAGCTGAGGTGAGGGGAGGCCTGAGCCCACGGGTTCAAGATCAGCCTGGGCAACTTGGTGAGACCTCATCTCTACAATAAATCAAAAAATTAGCTGGGCGTGGTGGCACATGCCAGTAGTTCCAGCTACTTGAGGCGGAAGGATCACCTGAGCACAGCAGGTCAAGACTGCAGTGGCCATGAGTGGCCCACTGCACTCCAGCCTGGGCAACAGTGAGACTCTGACTCAAAAAGAAGAAAAAAAAAGTTATTTACCTATCATTACTCTTGAAAGGTAAAATCTAGAAGTTTAAACCATGCTTTATTTTTTAAGTAGAGAGATGATGCTCAAAGGTAGCGGGCTGCAGCACTAGTTATAAGACTGAGTAACTGATGAGACTAAGACTTAGTTACCAGCCCTGTGTTTTAAGACTTCATCAGAGCTAAATCCACGTAAGTAGTCTTTTAAGATAGTTCCTTTTTGGGTTTTTTGAAAGCAGAATTTATTGAGGGACAGAAAAGCTCCCATAGTGAGAGGGGACCCGAAGGGGTTGCCCAAGATAATTTCTTTTGAAATGCACTTCTGAGTGTTAAAATAGCATATGTGTATAGCTGAAGTTTTTCTTCTGTGAGGAAGAGTGTTAGTCTGTGTTAAGACTGCTTCTCCGCTTGCCATGTGTTCATAGCAGTCCTGGTGTGTGGCAGATACTATAGTGAGGCGAAGAAGGGGCAGGAGGTCCTGTCCACCAAGAGTGTAACTCACATAAAATCAAACTATAAATGTACTGACTTACTGTTGTTGATGTTTGTATCTTTAATTTTTTACAAATATAAAGTTATAATCAGAACAAGTTGGACTATGCAATTGACACAGCATCAGTACCAAGGACATTTGTAATGAGATGTTCACTCATTTCCGTGGCCTGTTTCTTTGTCCACCTCCCCCCGCCGGTTTTAGGCAAGCCTGAAGTGGCGTGTGAAAACCCGCGCTGCACAGCGGCACCTGCAAGGCAGCCCACTCTGCACATTGCGGACAGAGACCCCATCCCTGAGGAGCAGGTAAGTGTCAGAGTGCCGCCTTTCTCCCTAAAGCAGAATTGCCCATAGAACCTGTCCTTTTTTTAGTTGACATGGATAATTGAATACGTTCTTGAATTTCTAATGCATGTCAAAAGAACAACATGATGTATTGAATCTATTTCAAATACTTAGTTCTTAATGCCTTGAATTTGAATCCATTTAATTCACCAGCAGATTTCTTTTGTCGTTTGTATCTAATTGTTTATTTCTTAAAGGCTTTTAAAAGTGACTAAACACATTAAAAATTAGTGCATTGGCAAAGGCACCTTTTGTGGTGCTAGAAATGTTTTTATCTTGATCTGAGTGACAACTACCAGTGTATATACACATATAAATATCCCGTGCACTTGAGATGGTACATTTGCCCGCGCGTGTGTTATGCTTCACTTTTAAAACCAGTTTTTTAATGACTGCATTAGATGTTGACAAAGATTACTTTTGCTCGTCCTAAGGAAAACGTATTTTTCCTTAGGTCATATTATCTATTTAGTATTCTTAATTGCAAGTGAAAACCAGTCTCACTCAGTTTAACAGACAAATGCTTTATTTAAGCCAGTAGATAGTTTAGAGACTATTTCAAAGGGCCAGATATGCAGGCTTGAACCAGCTGGGACAGGCAGTCAGTGTCACTCAAAAGAACTGCTCCCATGGAGACATCTCGGCCAGGTCACTGGGTACACAAACCACCCCTGGGAGCATCCACATGGGGGGGTGAAACTGCCCTCAGAACATGACCTGCCACTGACCTGCCAGGATATTCCTCAGGTCCCTGCTTCTCTCCCAGATGTCTGAATCTGAGCTAATGCAGGTCATCTGGGGAGGGGACGCTGGGTACTTGCCAGACCCTCAGTGGTGAGGGAGGCTGAGTAAGAATTGTGCTGCCCTCTGTCGGGGAGATGTGGAGAGCCACAGGATGGGATATCCCCTAACTCTACAAAGAGTGCTCAAGCGTCCTGGGAAGTCAGAAAGAGCCACGGATGCCACCACAGGAAAACTAGCACGCCTAATACCCCCCTCAAGTGCTAGCCCTTCTCACTTGGTTGGTTTTGACATAGCTGATCGCTGTACTCTTAACTGGGTGTACAGTATGGTGGTAGAGTAGAAAAATAACCATTGAAGTTGTTAAACCTTCCTTTTTTAATTTTAATTTTAATTTTTTCATTCAGAGTCTCACTCCATCGCACAATCACAGCTCACCACAGCCTCAAACTCCTGAGCTCAGGTGATCCTCCCACCTCTGCCTCCTGAGCAGCTGGGACTACAGGCACACTACCACTGTGCCTGGCTAATTTTTTAATTTTTTGTAGAGGTGGGGTCTCACTGTGTTGCTTAGGCTAGTGTCAAACTCCTGGGCTCAACCAGTCCTCACGCCTCAGCCTCCCAGTTCTGAGGTTACGCATGTGAGCCATCATACCTGACCACAAATTATTAAACTTTCTTATCCACAGCCCTTTTTGGTATCAACTATTAAGTTATTTTAAGATATTGATTTATCTATGGGTATGTCTGCTTTCTTTTTCCTCCCAGCTGTACTTGAGTGACCTATACCAAGAGCAGGTCTTCATTTTTTAATCACAGATATAGGCAAGTACCTGTAAATGCTTCCTAGAAAACTGTCTGCTGGAATTAAAGCACCTTTTCTTTTCATTTCAGGAATTAGAAGCTTATGTAGAGGACATAGATATAGACAGTGATTTCAGAAAGGACGACTTTTTTTACTTGTCTCAAGAAGACAAAGAGAGACAGAAGCGGGAGCATGAAGAGTCCCGGAGGGTGCTCCAGGAACTGAAATCTGTGCTGGGATTCAAAGCCTCAGAGGCAGAAAGGCAGAAGTGGAAGCAACTTCTGTTTAGTGATCACGGTAAGCACTGGCTTTAGAGGAAGAGATCATTTCAGTGCAGGGCATTCTTTCTTTTCTCAAGCCATGAGTTTTATTTTAGCTGTAGAATTCTCGTGGCTTTGATTTCAGGGACACACTAGTAAGCATGGTACTTTTTCTTCTACATGAAATCAGTTGGCTCAATAAAAGAGTAGGAATATCAAGTCCCAATTTTTTCATTAGTTATTTAATTTTTTACTAAAGTTTTTTAGAATGAGTAATAAGTTGAATAACTTGGGGTTCTTAAATAAAATGTTATATTCAAATTTAGTGAGGTTTAAACTATATTTTCCATATGTTAAAACGTTAAAAATATCTCAGTGAAACACAGAATTTATAACTCTATGTTCACCATTAGAAAAAATGAGTAAAGGCCAGGACCACTTAGCGCGTGGTTGAGGCTCCTTGCGAGGTGAGCACTTCAGCAGATGGATGGGTGCTCTGGGACACCATCTCATTTCTGACGGGTGCTGTGGGCTGGGGCCTGATGCCCGAGTGTGATCAGAGTCCAAGCTGTTTCCCATGCTGCTTCTCCCCAGGAGAACCTCCTGGCAGGCAGGGCAAGGACTGAGAGGAAGCTTTATACCTGACGGTGCCAGCCTAGCTCGCGCCCAGCCAAATGCATGCCTGTGGGTGTCTGTGTGGTAGAGTGGGGCTCCCTGTGCTTAGATGCCTCTGTGGACCCCTTCTCCTCCTCACCCGAAGTGTGTATAACCTGCCTGTCCTTCTGGAAGGGGCTTCCCCACCCGCTCTTCTCATTGGAGCCCTGCCGCCTCCTGTCCAGACCCGCTTCTCTGTTTCCTCTTGCCCTTCCTCCCGTGGCCCCTCTCAGCCCAGGCCTCTAGGTTGTGCATGTAGCTACGGCGGCCTCCTGGCCGACGGCCGCGCACCCCCCTCCCCCCCGCCACCTGTGTCTTCTAAGCTGTCCCACAAGCTCGTCCCAGGTTTTCCAAGCAGTGCATGGTGACGGCTCTCCCTCCCAAAGCCCACGGTGTTCCCCTATCCTGTGGTGCTCAACCTGAACGCTTTTCCTGGTTCCCGGCCTCTTCACCGAATCTGTTATCCCGTTGTGTTTTCTACTGTTTGTAAGAGAGATCTCTTTCTCTACTTGTGTTAATCTCATCAGGCTACAGGTCCCTAAACTTGCTGTTTTTATTATGAAAAATATTCACGCTTAGCCCTTTACCAAGAATTCTGTCTTCTCCACCACGCTTCTGCTCCTTCCTCTCCTCCTGAAGCCATCTCTGAGATTCCAACTCCACCCCTGCCCTGTCACTGCAGCCCCCACACTAGAGGGACTCTGATGTGTGAAGGGAGTCTGGAGCGGCCAGGCTGGCGGTGGACGAGGGAGCTCACGTGTTGGGCCTATGTGGATCAGACTGTGGTGGCATGTTTTAGGCATGTGTTCTGTGTGTCCGGGGTTTTTTTTCCTCTGTAATTAAAGTAGTCTCCTTAAATAGGTGTCCTATTACCCCCTACATCATCCATTCAGAAATTATTCATTCACTAACTAGTCAAAGAGTGTCTGCCATATGTCAGTCACCGTTTACTGCTCATAAACACAGATTATATCGCCTCATTTAATTAGCAGTAATCACAAATACCAATCACTTTCTACTGACATTGCATTCTTTGAGAACTAGCAGATTTATAAACATGTACATAGACTGAAAATAGCATTGTTTGTAAGCTTGTATTCTTTTGTTATTGCTCAATATTTTCTTCACATGGCTTTAAAATTACTCTGTTGACATTATGGGCAAAGATGCCTATCAGCAAGAGAAACATGTCTCTTTCAGGTATGTGCTTTGATACATTTGCGTTGGAAAAGGCAATCGTGCTGTTTAAGTTTGTGAAAATGAGTCAAAGCTGCTGATGCCATAGAATACTTTTCCCATGACAATGTCAGCACGTCTCCCAGAGTTGTTTTCATCTCTGCCTACAGGGGTAAAGTCCGAATGGAATTAGAGAGGGAAAGTCTGCACTGGAACCTGCTGTGGCCATTTGTTTCTGTTGTTGCGGCTTCTCTAGCGGAGTTGCTGCAGCTTAGGGATGTCTCTTGGAAATGGACGTTTTACAAAAGTGTTTTTCCATGCCCGCCAGATCGTCAAGAAGCACTTTCTCTCCTGCCATGCTTCCTCCTCTGTGGTGTTGTACTAACCCCTCCTGCCGGGGGAGAGACTGCCTAGCAAGCAACCCACTGCCTACTAACATCAAGAGGGGCTAAATACACTTCTGTTTCCTTGCAAGGACAACTTCTGCCATGTGAATATATATCCTATTTACGTCTTCTGTTTTGTACAGTAGTTGACCTTGAATGCAGACTTGACTTCGTTTTTTTTTTCCCGGTCACACTGCAAAATGTGTAGAAGTTGCGGCTTTACTCTCATTAGGGTCTTGGTAGGTGGTTGGCAAGTAAGTTGAACTGTATGTTGCATTTTGTCCATGCTGTTGTAACTTGTAAACATGTATATGTTGAACATGTATATGTTGAAGACCTGGATTACCTTAGGCCTTTTATCTGACTCACAATCAGGGAAAACCATGCTTGCTCCTCACCACGGCGGTTCTCCTTCTCCAGTGTGCATCAGCAGCAGAAGGTGGGCTTGTGAAACACAGCTAGTCCCCACTCCCAGAGTGTCCAGTTCAGCAGGTCTGGGATCAGGGCCAAAAATTTGCATTTCTAACAAATTCCTAGGTGGTGACCAATGTTGTCGGTTCAAGGACCACACATTGAGAATGCCATTGCTTTGACATTTGGAGTAAGAACATATGCGAGGTGTTTAAAAACCTTTAGCAAACCCTTGGCTCATTTCATTTCTTAGGCATTTTATCTCTTATCAAGTTCCCTGGTTTTATAAACTTTCATTGATTTTTGCTAGAAAGTTTTATTTAGCTCTCTCTTATTTATTTATTGTTCTTTTTAAGAAAAAAACTACTGGGGGTTTTAAGTTAAAAGTTTAACTCGTTTCTAGGTCCTTAGTTATTTTTTTTCTTTTTTTTTTTTCCTTTGAAGCAATGTTGAAATCCTTGTCTCCTGTAGACCCAATGGGACCTGTAAGTAATTCAGAATCATCAGTGAATTCAGATATGGGAAAAGTCGGTAAAAATGATACTGAAGAGGAAAATAGTAGACCCTCCACAGCTGACTGTGAAATAAGCAGGACTGAGTATTTGTGTGGAAGCCCTCTAGAGGGCAGAAATCGAGACAGTTCTGCACATGAAGTCTTCCTCCAAGGAGCAGAAGAGAGAACCTGTTGCCAGTGTGAAAGCGCAGGAGAGCCCCAGCCTGCTGCTGGAGGGGGCCCGGGCCCTGCCCCTCCCGCCCCCGGGGACTCGCCCCAGCCCTCCCCCCAGCAGCGGCTGGCCCGCCTGCAGCTGTCCTCGGACTTCACCTTCACAGCCAGCCTGGCTGCCGAGGTGGCGGCGCGCTCCCTCTCCTTCTCCAGCATGCAGGAGCAGACCTTCGGCGATGGGGAGGAAGAGCACGGAGCAGAAGAAAGTAGACAGGGGGTCGAAGAAAAGTGAGAGCCAGGATACGCGGGAAGCGATGCCGGGCTGCCCTTTGCGACCCTGGCTTCGAGACTGGAGGGGCGGCGGGGGCAGGCTTCCTGGTGCAGGGCTGAGGTGGGAGGCCGGAGCGCCTGGCCTGAGTGGCGGGGCAGAGGGCGTCAGCGCCTGTCTGAGGAGAGGGAAGCAAGGGGGCGCTCTTGAGGGCACTGTGGCTTCGTTGGTGGCACAGCGCATCAGTCCTGCAAGCTCTTTAAGTATTTTTAACAAGGAATGAGTGGTCATTTCTTGCCAGAATTTGCTACCATAAAGTGATTGGGATAATTCTGTTTCAAGAACATTAAATTTAGTATAACTCCTTTTTACTGTATTCTGGCAGTTGATAACTGCAGCTGTTATGTTGAAACCAAGTTGTTTGTATTTTATTTCTGTTTATACCACTCTTAAGACAAAGATCTGGGTTTTGAATAAAAAAGTTAATTCCTACGGTTGATGTGTGCTGGGCTTTGGAACTGAAAAGTTGTTGCTGAGATGCGTGGTAGGGCTTGTTTCCTTGCCATGTGTGTATTTAGTTGATTTCATGTTGTCCTAATGATCTGTTAAAGAAAAGCCTTGTGCCGTTTTAAGCGTTATGCTTTCCATTGTTTTGCCTGTTCCTCCTGTTCTCATTGGAACCAAAAGAGAGGACGTCAGAGTGGGGTCCCTGCGGTCCGAGGCCCAGCCCCAGCCTGGCAGAAGTTCTCCTCTGTCTCTGTTTGCCTGAGATGATCGGGCGCCCTCACACAGGCAGTCCCGGTGCTGCCGCCAGAGGCCTGTCCACCCCGACGAGCTCAGGAGACAGCCGTGGCTCCCGGCCCCTCCGCGCTTCCCTGGCAGCCTGCCTCCGCACAGAGACTGCCTTCCCACCTGGCCCGGCTCCTCTGTTTGGTGTCGCGATTGCCTTTCTGAGGTGCACTGTTTTTGAAGCCTGTGGCCCCTGTGTGCCAACACGGTTTATAGATGTTCTTTGGGGGAAATGTCAGAATGATGCAACTGATGCCGCTGTCCGAGAGAGGAAATTGCCTGGCGGATCTGAATCATCTTTGGAGTTAAGAGGCACATTCAGATCCCTATAACCTAGCTCTTCCAGTGAGTAAATGTACTTACACCAAAGGAAATTTTTTTCTTTCGATGATCTAAGGGACTGTTTTATCCTAAGGAAAAACTTGGTTCTGCTTTATGTGAATGGTGGAGATCATTATACTATAGGTGATTTTGCCTTTTGCCCAAATTCTGGAGCTTGTTCATATTTAACCTCTCGGGAGCAATATTTTGGGGTGGGCCTAGCCTGGCCACTTAGAAATAGCTAAATTTCACGCACACAAAAACATCTTCATGTGTTGTAACTGAGTATTATATTCTTAAATAATAATATTTAGGGTTTGCTTTCTTAAATTTCTTATTTACCAACTTCATCCTTCCTTGAATTTAGAAGATGCAGTTATGGAAAAACTTGGTAATATCTGTCTTAACCTATTACCTTACACAGGCAGATTTAGAGTTTAATAATTTTTAATTATTGTATTTTGTTTTTATCACACCAGTTTGGGGGAAATGTCTTCATAATATCGTATCCATTTTATTCAATGCTTTTTCAGGTGATACTTTTTTTAATTTTGAAAGACTAATTTTAATCAGAAATTCCCAGCCTTTCATTCTGGTCTGCTTTATTCACTAGTTGTTACTTAGTTCTTCAAAAACTCTACTTGTTGAAATTATGATGTAAGGATCTTTTGTGTCGTTTTCATCTTTTAAAATATTTCCAAGAAAATATATTATCTTCCCTGTGAAAATTCCTTGACTGACAGTATTCTAAGTCAGTGTTTCTTAGTTGTTTTAAAGGGGTAACTGCATCAGAATTTTTTTTCTTTTGAGTTGGCATCTCTCTGTCACCCAGGCTGGAGTGCAATGGTACGCTCACAATTACCACAGCCTTGACCTTCTGCACTCAGAAGATCCATCTACCTCAGCCTCCCCAGTAGCTGGGGCTATAGGCACATACCACAATACCAGGCTAATTATTTGATTTATTGTAGAGACAAAGTCTTGGCAAGTCGCCCAGGTTGGTCTCCTGGACTCAGACAATCCTCTCGCCTCAGCTTTCCAAAATACCAGTATTACAGGCGTGAGGCACCACACCCAGCCAGGAGTCTTTTATTTGAGTTAGAGTCTCACTCTGTCACCCGGGCTGGAGTGCAGTGGCATGACCACAGCCACTGCAGCCTCAGCCCACTGGGCTCAGGCAATCGTTCAAGTAGCTGAAACTATAGGCAGGCACCACCACACCCAGCTAGTTTTGATATTTTGTTTGTTTTATTGTAGAGACGATATCTCACCAAGTTGCACAGGTTTATCTCGAACTCCTAGACTCTGGTAATTCTATCATCTCTGCCTCCCAAAGTGCTGGGATTACAGGCGTGAGTCACCACGCCCGACTGGGTCTTATTTTTAAATATAGATTTTAAGCTATACTCCGTGTAATTCCTATTTGATCATTTCGGAATGAGACCCAGGTAATGTCGATGCCCAATAAAATCTAAGAACCTGTGTTGTCCTTGCCATCAATACCTTAGGAAATATAAAGAGACCAGTGTAATGCGGGTAGGTGTTCTTGTTTGTTACATTCCTAAGAATATTTCACTTTCTCTTATCAAGCTTTTGATTAGTCTTAATAGCCACCATCCTATGTACAAAAGAAGACCTCTGGGAAAAACATTTATGGGGAACACTTACAATTGCACTTTCCAAATGTTACAGTATTATTTCGACAATCTGATTCTTGTTAGGAGTAGCGCCCTGACAGCTTTTAATGTGAACCCAGTACTTACCAGGAGAATGCATATGAGGGTCTATTAGGGTCATTGTTGAAGCCTGGGTTTTTACTCGGTGCCCACCTACAGATAGGAAAGCCCATTTAAAATTTCATTTTCTGCTGGGCACGGTGACTTAAGCCTGTGACCCCAGTACTTTGGGAGGCGGAGGCGTGAGGATTGCCTCAGCTCAGGGGTTTGAGACCAACGCGGGCAACTTGGTGAGACCTTGTCTCTACAATAAATCAAAAAATTAACGGCATGGCACATGCCTGTGGCTCCAACTCTACTTGAAAGGCTGAGGTGGAAGGATTGCCTGAGCCCAGCAAGTGGAGGCTATGGTGACTGTGAGCATGCCACTGTGCACCAGTCTGGACAACAGAGTGAGACTCCAACTCGAAAAACAAACAAAAAAAAACCCCTTCATTTTCCTAAAAAAAAAAGTAATATTCTGATTCACATAATAAAAGTGATAAAGCATTTGATGGTGAGGCATAGAAAGAATATAAAGTATGAGGTATTTTGACAAATTATAAGAAATCATATGGGAGTAAACGTTCAGCTGATTTGGTTGAATTAGATTGTTTCATTACGCCCAAGCAAAATAAAGAAACATGCACTAAGCACGGATGCAGCTTCACTAAGTTGCTGTCTGAACTGGAGCAGACATGCTGGGAACAGCAGTCAGACCAGGTGTCGAGATGGGCGCGTTCTCCCCATTCTTTGTTTTTTTGAATTGGAGTCTTTCTCTGTCACCCAGGATGGAGTGCAGTGGCAGTCCTTCCGCCTCAGCCTTCCAAGTAGCTGGAACTGCAGGCATGTGCTACCACGCCCAGCCAATTTTTTTTATTGTTGAGACAACAGCTCACCAAGTTGCCCAGGCTGGCCTCAAACCCCTGGACTCTCAGGCAGTCCTCTCGCCTCAGCCTCCCAAAGTGCTGGGGTGACAGTCATGAGTCACCATGCCTGGCCCTTCCCATTCTCTTTACAGTAACATATCTCTGCAGCTCACACTTGCATGAGGAAATGAGGTTGCAGATATTTAGAAGAGAAAAAAATACCCAATGACCTACCTAGAGTAATGCTTCATTGATCTGTCATCATTGACAGGTGATTGACTTGCATAAGCTAAATTTCCAGCTAAAGCAAATTCATTTAATCATAAAATTTGACAGTTTAATAACTAAGTACTTTCTGTTTTTCCCCGTTGTCTCTCACCTATGTAAGCAATTTAACATTTTCTGTGTCATCTGTCGTGGTGCCACCTGGGTTGACAAGCAGGAATTCCCTTTCCTCCACAGCGTCGATGTGCTGAGCTGTCTGCTTCTCACAGGTTCTCTGTCTTTCGTCATAATCAGCTGTCCCTCTTGCCACTGTCGTGTGTGCCTGCCTCCTGCCTTAGGCCCTAATTTGCTGCGCCTCCCCTGCTGTGGACTGAGAAGCCAGACTGCCAAGCCCGCTAGCATTGTCCTAGAGTAAGAGAAGGCTGAGGTCTGACCTGTCAGGAAGGTGCGTGGACGTGTGCTGCTGTGGGGTGCTTGGCCTTCTTTTGTTTGCCTGTTTGTCTTTTACTGAAAACTTGCTAAAAATACTGGGTTGCATATGTGATTGCCATGTATTTGAAGTGTTCATTCAGATTTTGCCTATTGATGTTTCTGGGCCTCGTTATTCATGGAGCCAACTATAAAAGGAAATTTGATTATTGTCTTTGTGTTTCAAGAAAATGTTTACTATTTTATCCTCATTAACTGTTCTTAGCAGAGGATGCAGATTTAGAACTTACCGCATTATAGGCTGGGCGCGGTGGCTCATGCCTATAATCCCAGCATTTTGGGAAGCCAAGGTAGAAGGATTGCTGGAATCCAGGATTTTGAGACCAGCCTGGGCAGCGAAGCTTTCTTCTCTCCAAAAAAAAAAAGTCAAAAAATTAGCCTGATGTGGTGGCACTGCTGTAGTCCCAGCTGCCTGGGAGGCTGAGGTGGGAGGCTCGCTTGAGCCCAGGAAGGTGAGGCTACAGTGAGCTATGAGCATGCCACTGCAGTCCAGCCTGGGGACAGAGTGAGACTCCAACTCGGAAAAAAAAACCTTATGTGCATTATAAAAGTAACTTCAAGTCTGTTTGTCAAGCCTTATGCTCTAGAGCTATTGGTTTGAGAGTAACATGGCTAACTCTGTAACGACAGGCCAACTGGAATATCTGGGGAACGAGTCACTCTAGACATTCCAGCTTCCTGCAGAGCTTGCTCCCCCTTTCAACATTAAAATTTGGGGGAATAATTCTGGAGGAGATATTTATAGAATTTGTATTCATTGCTGTCTTCTTAAATGATATGTCGAATACTTTTTTTTTTTTTTTTTTTTGAGTCAGAGTTTGCTCTGTCGC